AAAGCCACATTTGAAGTAGGTATTGGACAGTTGTCATCCTTGGGGTTGTACAGATTACATAGCCTACTTCCTGCTTGTCAAGTTTGGGGGCCCAGAAGTTGTTCAAAGAATCACACAATTTTATTCTGGCCTCTTGTTTGTGGTTTTTAATTTATTTAATTACTTAAAAAAATTTTTAAAAACAACTATATGGAAACAAATCAAATAACCTAGAAGAAATGGACAAGTTTCTGGAAACATACAGTCTACCAAGACTGAATCAAGAAGAAATTGACCACTTGAACAAACCAATCACTAGAGATGAAATAGAATTAGCAATAAAAACCTCCCTGCAAACAAAAGTCCAGGACCAGATGGCTTCACTGGGGAATTCTATCAAACATACAGAGAGCTCATACTAGTCCTTCTCAAACCCTTCCAGAAGACTGAAAAAGAAGGAGTACTCCCAAACTCATTCTGTGAAGCCACCATCACTGTGATACCAAAACCAGACAAAGACACTGCCCCCCCCAATTTTTTTTTATAACAGAGATACTGGGGATTGAACCCTGGACCTCATGCATGCTAAACATGTGCTCTACCATTGAGCTTAACACACCCCCACTAATCTAGTCTTAAATCTGGCAGTCAGCTTCCTCAAAAATTTTCATTTAGTTCCTGGTGCCTATAAACTCATCTTTTCTTAAGCATGATTCTTTTCTTAAACATGGTTTTTAATCTTGATGTATATATTTTTGCTTCCTCACAATTTAATGGTTCCACCATGATACCATTTGAGATAAAAGACCTGGGTGGGAAGGCCACACTCTAAAACTGTCTTTGCCTCAGGGCTGCATCTTAATGGCTGTTCCTGAAATTTATCTTATCTTTTACTATTTGGGATCTAGAAGCAGTAGGCTTTGATATACCATCAAGGCTCCAAATTCCTGAACTTTCTCCATTTCCTTTTATGTCTCTTTGCAAACAGGCCATCTCTTTAATAAATAGAAAGTAAATTGCTAACCCAATTAACATTCAGACTCTTTGCAGATCTTTCCCTTAGAGCATGAGTTGACAAACTTTTTCTATAAAGGCCTAGATTTTAGATTGTAAATATTTTAGATTTTGTGTACCATACCGTCTTGTCATAACTATTGAATCCTGCTCTTGTAGTGCAGAAACAACCTTGGACAATATGTAAACAAGTGGGTGTGGCTGTGTTCCAATAAACTTTATTTTAAAAAAGAGGGCCAGATTTGGCATCTGGGGCATATTTTGCTGACCTCCAAGCTAAAGGTTCAGTAAGCATGTGGTCATTCTTCATGTTTTCACAGGTGAAATTTTTGCTCTGATTAGCACTTTTATTGGGTTGCATAACCACTGAGCGGGTGCCACATATGCTAAGGTTTTTGTAACGTAGCCCTCCACTTCCAGTACCAATTAATGTATTAATTAAAATAATGCAGTTTTTTTCCTAGCAGGTAAACCCACAAATGTCAGCAACTTAACCCAGAAGTCGAGTCCACCCAGTTCGCTATGAAGGGTTGTTGATGTTGGGGCACACAGTTCCCGACAGACATTCAAGAATCTAGGCTGATGATAGCTTTGCTATCACCAACACAAAGCTTTCAAGACCACCATGGGTGTTGACTTGCAACTGATAGAGGAAGAGAATGGAAATCACTTATGAGAGGATTTTGTGGGCCAGGTTTGGAAATATTTCATAGTACTTCTGCTCCCATTCCATTGGCTGGAACATGGATATACCTGATTATGAGGAAAGCTAGGAAATGTAGTCCAGCTTTACAGCCAGGAAGAAATAGGCACCAATCTTGGTGAGCACACTGAGTTCATCACTCCAGTTCCTAAATGAATGTTAATGACTGAGGCTTTCCACACTAGCTTTGTGACTTTAGGTTCAGGGCCCATTTCGTCTTTCTTATAATAGACACAAAATTAGAATTAAAAGTACAAAGCACATAAGAATGCCTTGTTAGTTTCAACTAGCAAACTCTTTACATGTCTACAAGAATATAATAAACACCTGTACTGCCCTTTCCCAGATTTGTATTAATGTTGTACCATATTCATGACTGAGATTTATTTTATAATATAAACATTACAGATATAGATTGAGGCTCCCTAAGCATTTCCATTCCTCTTTCTCTTTCCTCACTATCATGAACCCATTGTTTATTAGTTTTATGTACTGGAATCTTTTTTTTTAAATCCCTTATAATTCAGTACTGCTGTCTTACTGACTAGTTTACGGTCACAGTCATCCAGGTCTCTTGTGGGACGAAAGGAATGGTATTCTGGTTAAACCATGTCAGGAGTGGAAGGCACAGAGTCCTCCCTTAGCCCTCACAGCTAGTCTCCAGGTACAGCAGCCTCTTGGGGAAGAGGGAGATACGAAGTTGGAGGTAATCCCGGGTCAGATTGACAGGCCTCATGTGTCGGCTAAGGATTAGAATTTCATCCTCTTGAAAACAGTCGGGAATCCTATTATTAGATGGTCACAGTGGTGGTTTAGAAGGATAATTCTTGTTGCTGTGTGAATTCTGTCCAGAGCTAAGAGAGACCCTTGCTATAGTGCTGGGCAGAGATAGTATGAGCTTCAGCTAAAGTGGTGGCTAGTGGAGAAGAGCCTTTTCTTGGCAGGAGCCTGGAGGGCTCACAAGTTTTCTTTTCTTGCTGCTTTAGAAAGGATTGCACTCCAGGTTGGCATGGGGGTGCCTCAAGCAAAAACTGCTGCTGCTTCCTAGCATTTTGACCTTGACCTTTTTTAAGTTAGAGTGGTAGAGAGGTTGACTTGGTAGCCATAGGAGAGCTGGGCTAAAATCTGGGAAGCCTGCCTGCCATAAACAGTCTTTGTGATCTTGGGTGGGTCACGTAACATCCTTGGGCTTCAGTTTTTCCATCTCAGAAATCCAAGAAATGAACTAGAGTCTCTCCAGTGTCCCCATCCACTCTGTGATTCTCTCTTTGCTTTTTTACTCCACTACATCAGAAAATGATTTCAAAACATGACAGGAAATTTAAACGTGGGTTCATCACCAGTTGTGGGTTCTGGATGGCAGAAGGCCCACCGAGACAGAATGAATTACTCGAGACTTTGGAAAAAGTAAGAGAGTGAGAGGGAGTCGGGAGCCAACTCCACGAACCTCTCAAATGCTCCCACATTTATTGTGTACAATCAAAGGAGAAATCACTAACATTTGTGTGATGGAATGCAAGAATTTAAGGAAAGACAGGGTGGGATCGAGATTGTAGAGTCTGGCTCAAGGTCAGAAGACCCTTTATGTTTTGGTAAATCATGTTCGTGTTGGCACCAGCGAGCCTTATAGCTTATAAGGGCGAAACGTATGAGAAGCAGCTGCTTATAAACGTTTTTCTTGGACTCAGGCGGCTGTGCCTGTCTTAGGTTGCCCCCCTCTGGGGGTCTTACCAGTCAGTGGCTAACCAGCCTTCTCACCTCTGAGTCTGCAGCTTTTTATAACTTGTTTACCATTCCAGCCCAAGACTTGTTCCTTTGGTCCCACAGTTGGGGGCCTACAGTTTATCTTTAGGGAAGTCATGGGAAGAGGGGAGCAAGATACGTTCTTATAGACATGTTAAAACAGACCACCAGACCAGCCAGTTCCTTGTTTTGGGGATGGAAGACTATCTAACAGCAGGCACGCCCAGCGTTTATAGCCGAGGGCCTGGGTTGTTGCTTTGCAACAAGCAGAGTGCCATCTAAAACGTCAACTATGCAAGCAAGGCAGTTACTAAGCACATTTGCTCTTCTTTAAGGAGACAAGTGGCTGGGGACTGTTACAATTTGTTAACCCAATCATGGGCTCCCACATTTAAATAAGGAAATAATTTTAGAAATGGAACAAAATCAATTTTAATATTTCCAAAGGTCAGGACAGACAGATAAATATTACAGAAGGACTTGAAATTTTTGGTGAGATTCTTTCTACTAATAATATAAACATACAGACATTCTAGTCATCTGCTTGTATGTGAAAAAAATCCAAATCTGTAAGTCTGGTGGCTAGCATCTTTATTAAAAAAATAAGATTTAAATAAATTAAACAATATGAGTATGAAACAAGTATATTATTAAGAGAGGTAACATCATGAAATCAACTCAAGAAATAATTACAATATTTACCCTCTTGAAAGAAACAGATTTGAGAGAACATGGACAGACAAAAGAGAAGACTGATGCATGCAGAGAGGATTCTAGAAAACAGCCGTTAGCTGTTTTGTTTTTTTTTCTCATGGCTAATTCATTCTAAAAGAGCTATTTCTTTACACAAATGTATTTGTAGGTAAGGCAAATGCACTTATTAAGTTGCCAAAATTCCTTTCAAACCTACTTTCAAATCTACATCTCTCCAAAGGAGTAGATCCCAGCCTGGAGGGCAGGACCATATAAATTTTTCTTACTTCCCAAAGGGAGTTTTGCAGGAGCATGACAGCATTTGTTCAATTTATTTCAATAGTGGAATAGATGGGGGTAATTTCCACAAGCTGACGTTAACATTTCTTGCTTTCACCCTTAACTAAAGGAAGGGGTTGGCAGTAATAGCTTGGAAGTCCTGAGCTCGGTAACCTCCACCTGATCCATTCGGAGAGAGGCATCCTGTCTCCATCCTCCACATGCCGGAGGTGGTACTGGAACCAATGCTCCACTTCCAAGGACTCACTGGCACTGCTGAGAGCAGCTTCATCAGATAGCCTCAAACATCCTCTTTCTGTATTTTCCCACCCTCTACCTTTCAGATCTTCCTTTCCTTAAGGAAACCAATGCTGAGTTTCTTACTAAGTTCTACGCATGGTGCTAGGCCTTGAGGCACAGTCATGAAGACGATGCTGGCCCTGCTCTTCAGGGCTCCGAGTCTAGCAGGAGAATGCTGTGTTGAGTACTTTTACCCACTCTTAGCTCACTTCCTTCCTCTGGGCCAGTATCCCTGCCTCTAAGAGGAAGGGATTGCCTGAGAGGATTTCTTAGATTATTAGATGCGAAAGCACCCACGTGTCTGTGAGTTAAGTAAGACTGAATAAAACTTATGGAACCAGACCTAGAACACAGGGTTGAGTAGTGACAGGCCCCAGGCCCCAGCACTCTCCGTTCCTGGAGCTCCCCCTCTGCCGGAGGACAGGGGTCAGTGGGGTCTCCCACGGTGGTCTGCAGCCTGGGTACATTGTACACACACAGACTTCTTGGATATCTTGGTCCTTCAGGACAAGGGTGGGCAACTCAAAATATCCACTGTACTTTATTCTTTCATTTCACTGAAGGAGCAGTAGCTGGGCCCCAGGCCTCGCACGGTGCAGTCAGTGCTGTCACTGTCACACTTGCCACAGTGACATTCAGTGGCTACTGGGTACGTATACAGGGAGTCTGCATGGTGAGCACAGCCGGGCACCTTCACCGTCTCGTACACCAGCTCCTTGAAAGTGCATGTTTTCTGAATGTTGGGCCTGGCTGGGTCCTTGTACACCAGATCCTGAGTGTTTTAGGAGGGAGAGAGTTAGGTTACAGTATTCTGCAGGTTTCTGTTTAGCTTAATCAAAATGAGGCAGGGATTGAAC